TATAATAAAAACAATACTTGCCAGTAAAATTCGGGAGTCGTAAATTTTTCAAAACTTATACAAAATCATTAATTAGAGTTATTGTTTAAGCTGACAGCCATATTATAGATATCTAGACTGTCTATTCACTTTGAAAAAAACGACGGTCTTACAATCGATTCATGTCTGAGTTCGGAATATTTAAGGTAATACTTTTATTTGCGATAAATTTTCTTTAGTAATACTAGGGATTAAAGTATGAAATTGCCGAATTGTATTGAAAATCAAAATTGTGTATTTTTTAATTTTTAACAATTTTTTTTAATCAAAATAGTTACCATTATAATCTATACATTGCTGCCATCTAATGGGAAAGTCATTTATGCCTTTGCGATAGAACTCTGAGGATCTAGACTGCACAAACTGTCTGAAAGCATTTTGTACTGCCTCCTGGGAACAAAACTTCTTGTCACGTAGATATTTGTCCGTTGGAGCAAGATCTGGCGTATACGGAAGATGACGAATGGTTTCTAACTGCAGTTCCTGATGGGTCAAAACGGTTTCTCGTGCTGTATGAGGTCTCGCGTTGTCATGGAGCAATCATGGTGAAGATCGATTCATGAGTCGGGGCTGTTTTACCGCTAGTTTTGCCAACATTGTACGGAGTTCGGTACAATAGACATCTGCCGTTATTGCTTGACCAGATCGGAGAGAACTATAGTGAATAACACCACGCTGAGACCACCAAACAGTTACCATTACCTCTTTATTGGTAAGTTTTGCTTTAGGACACTGTTGTGGCGTTTGACCTGGGGCCAGCCATTGCATTTTTCTTTTACGGTTATCATAAAGAATCCACTTTTTATCACATGTCACAATTCGGTCCAATGTTCCTTCATTTCTGTACTGATTCAACAAGGCAACAGAAGTTTCAACACGCGTTTCTTTCTGCAGATCAGTCAAATCATGAGGCACCCATTTTTCGTTAAACTATGCCGCTAATTCCTGGGTAGTTTGACTAGGGTTGGCTCCCATCATATCTCTTAATTCATCATTATTCAACTGTGTTTTATTCAACCAAAATCTCACGGTGCGTTCATTAGCAGACCCCTCTCCAAACGCAACATTGATATTGCGGGCTGTTTCTGCTGCGTCACTTCCGTGTCGGAACTCGTATTAAAAAATAACTCGAATTTTCGCAGTACCTTTCTTGTCTAAGTTGAATAACAAAAAAACAATTGAAAGTCGATATACAAATGATTCACATTTTTTAAAAGAAGAACGTCATAGAAACCATATGATAAAAGTTTCTTTCGAAAACCTCAAATCATGAAGATTCTATGTCAATTCAAGGACCCTATTACAATAAAACGGCAATTACATACTTTAACATCTAATATTATCTGGGACATGTTTGAAAATGTGTCGATGACACGAAAATGATCCTTTTAAATGCGGATTTCATAGAGATGAATTCTGACATTATTCGAGTATTTAAATCGAATTTTAACAATGACGTCATTGATTTTCTAATGTCGTTAGTACTCATATGTATCAGTTTATAAATCATTATTTTAAAAAGGAAATTATGTAAAATTAGATATTTAATAACCATTTTTATTTTAGATTTTGTATTTTAGAATCCAATAAATCTTTGTGTTTACACATCATTTATATTCTTTTACATCTATAGTCAACTCGCGGATTGTAGTAAGGCACAAAAAGCAGTGTATAGATGGTTATATTATTAATTTTCGTTTAGGAGTTACATTTCTTATTATCTGTAATTTCTAAAATAATATCCAGGAAAATGTTTATAAAAAGTTAGGACTGCTTTTCTGTTCGTTACAACATCATAATCTTCATACAAAGTATAATAACGTAAAACATGAAATACACGTTCATTTAGTATGAAGATGATATTTTATTAAGACATGTTTAGGATTGAATTTGTAGTTATGCGAGTGCATGACGCGACTGAGGAAACTTTAGAATAAAAACATACATCGCCGTTAAACATATAACCTCCTCCTTTTCGATTTTAAAGTTGGTTAATAAATACTAATTCCTTAACAGGATAGGGGAATTATAATTTTTTTATATTATTTAAAAAAATTGAGCAAATCTCTCTGTGGTGCCAGGCTTGGACAAAGCAGGTCTTTCAACTGTCCATGGAAACAATATCGGTCACTTAGTTACTTTGGAACTGAGCGTTATTGTAAATATATCTATGAATGGTGTCACTTAGAACGTTTCTCAGCTGTTTGATATATAAGTAGACTCAAGGAATAATTAAAAATCAAAGCACAGACTACATGTCTTAACAATTTTTTCTTGTACTTTTTGGAACAGTAGGGCTCTGTTTGTATTTATTATGACTGAAAGAATATACTGCACTCTTATTGTGCTAGCGAGAATTTTGTAAATAATTATGAAAACGAAAAGTATTTAAATATTAAGTGACAGACGACATTTTTGTTGTCTTTTATAAAGTAGTTCCTTTTAAATTCAGAAAATATTATTTTTTAAATATCTATCTAAATCGGGTGTTTGCCACTTTTATATTTTTTCATTTTGAAAACTGGAATGGAATGTTCAAAGAAAAAAGTAAAAAGCCTTAGAAAATGGTTAAAAGGTTGTCTGGAATAGATCGCTGTATAGTGATACTGTCGATTGAGACACGAAGCTGTAATGTTGCTTTTTATGTTCTACGTGGTGGTGTCGATGTTAACAATGTATAGTTTGTATTTTTGTATTAAATTTACCACTTATTTATAATGCCACTACGTGACCACGACTTTGTGTGAAATCGTAGACTTAGAAGAGTTTAAAGCTTCCTTAAATATAATAATTTATTAGCTTTAGACGTCACAATAGCATATTTTCCATTTATACAATAATTTTTTTCAGACTATGTTTACCTATTTTAACGCAACAGTGATTCACTACTTATATTGTCAATAAATTATCAAGTCTGTAAAAATATCACTCATAATAAATGCTAAATAAATTTTGTAGGAGCCATTTATTCTTTCGCAGTGTTGAATAAATGATATGGATCTGTAAAAAAAAATATAAATTGGCGATTACAGTGGTAAACACCCTATTGTAAATGTCCACTTAATTTTAGACAAATACCCATGTATATTCCGTAAGTTTATTAGTGTTATCTTTAGCAATGTATTTTTTGATGTGATATTATTTGATTTATTATGAATATAATTATGTCTCAATAAACTACTTTCAATTATATTCGTCGTCGTATTATTGAACATATCGTTATGTATGATACTGTTACACCATTGGGTACACTAATATACTCTGGCGCTAGTGTAGACAATTATGATATACATGAAATATATCTAAAAAAGTTAAATATAAATTAAAATCTAAAAATAAATTTATGTTTTCAAATTTATCATAGTCCACTTCTGTCATGGCGTCTCTATGACGTCACAGCGCTGAAAGCAGTCTTTTATGTATGCATGAGGTTGAATTTTCTTAGTTCTGATATGAGTAAGAGGGTCGAGACATCACGATCGGTTTGCGGTCACGTGACAGCGAGCATAAAAATATTTGTTTTTTCGTAATTAAGCAATATTATAGATATAATAAGCATAAAAGTGTGATTATCGGTAATAGTATATTAAACAGTAACAGAAAAATAACAATATGTATTTTCGTTTACGGTCTACACCCGTATTATGAAATTTAATCTCTAAGTAGCCAAGAGAGTAAGTATGCTGATCGTGAAAATTATTTCATCTACGGGGTTACTGTAGGCTATAATAGTTTACGCGGGTGAAGTTGCGGGAAAACGGCTAGTTTGATGTAAGTTACTGCAAAAGGCCAATCTCTGATTAATTAATTTAAAACCGTATTTTTTTGAAAGCTATAGTCATGAGTGAAATTACAATATGTTAGAGGAAAGGTGATCGATTAACGATTATATTAATCGCTAGATGTTTGCATAATCTGATACATTAATCACTCATTCATATTTTAGTTAATAGTTAGTAATTAATTCATTTATAATGATTACTTGGAATTTGAGTAAGTAGGTAATAAATGTGTATTTAAAGAAATGGGAATTGCGAACGCATGATTAAGACATTTATTATTTAATTATTTTAGTAATAGATCAATGTAGGTAGTTTGGCATACATTAAGCTTTGCGTTGTTTTGCTTATCGGTAGATATTATGCATAATGCAATAAATTAATAGGTGTCAGAGTTATTAAGTCTTATTTCACGTTAAAATATTTAATTAATATTTATTCATTCGTTGGCGAAAGTATGTAGGCAAGTTGCTTTCATGAATCACACGAATTGCATGAATCAGAAGAAATAGAATTTCATATTTGATTAATTATCAATCAATGCATTTCGACGAAATTGTTGCATTGCATTCTTTTGCCAATTACTCTATGGACACCGAAAGCAAATCATTGATATTGTGCAATGGCCATATTAATTAATGATTTCATTGAGTTTATATTTGTCAAGATTGACCCATATACTTTTTTCCAAGTTAAATTTCTATAAAACATGTTATTTCTAGTAAAATTTATTCATTTAAGAACATCCAACAAAACATACACCACGACACGATCATTTAGATGAAACATATTTTTACCATAGTATTTTTAGGATATTGAAAATAAGCATTCAAAAATAATAAAAAAAACAAATTTTAAAGTATTTCTTACAGAACAGATTTACCCAACCAACCGTCATATTTAAGACTAGTTCAGACTCAGAGCTGAATTTATTAAACACGAAATATTCTTAAAACATATTCACAGAATATGACGACAACATCATAATGTAAATCGATTATAACGAATTATTATTCTGTTGATTGTTCAGAAATGACCAAAATAAGGTCAGACACCTTTTACGTCATATGGTCAATATCTTGCAGATCGAGCCGTTTTGTAAGGTACATTTAGACTTATTTAACGAAAATGTCATTAAATATCTTAAAATATATTAAAATACATTTAATGTCAGGGCACGGGTGCTTTCTTTTTATAAAAATTGCAAGAGAATTAATAAAACTACAAAATTCACTCTATGCAATATATTTATAATAACAAATCTATTGCAACTTTCAAGTCAATTGTTCTTAAGAAAACTTAAGGAAACAAAAACTTTAATACAAAAGTTAAACCTTGCTGCGTTCACATAACCATTTCAAGTTAGGCACTCCATTATAGCATGCCTATTAAACTTGAAATTAGCCCAAGAAGGAGCCACGAAATCTAAATAAACACTTAAGTCATCTGTAGCCTCATTACTAGCACTTTCTTTTTGTACTGGTGAAAAGCTATCTGTACGAGTATTCTGAGGAGTAAATAGCTGTCGTTTTGCAACTTTACGTTCCTTCTTATTACTAGACTGCTGAATGTGGATAGATTTGGATGTGCTAGGGATCTGAGTGCTACTATGCACATGTATAGGATTCGAGTGAATATGATGGTGTGCCTGGCTATTATTACTACTGCTATGACTGAGATTCTTATGTTTATGACTGGGATTTTGCTGCTGGTACTCCTGGATTTCATTTTGTAAGCCTTGAGATATAGTTTTTGTCTTACTCTTACTTGATGATGATTCAATGTCTCCCATGGATTTATGTCTTGTACGTCTCGTACTATTACTGAATACTTTTGGATTACGTTCAGAGACCCAACGCCTCATACGCTTCACAAATGGTAGCACCATGAAAAAAGCATTTGGACTGACGCCCATTTTCACTTTAGGTGTCATATCTTTCTTGTTTGCAGGCAAATCAGCTAATGGGAACCACTCACACGCTTTTATTTCATTTCTTGTTTTTGGCTGAAATTTAGTTTCTCGTGGTATATACCCTATAATATAAAGACGTACTATTTGTTCATGAATCATAGCTTCAATATAATCATTTTTATTGATTAATTTACTTATATCAAACCCTGTCTCTTCCAGTACCTATAAAGAAAATTAATATTAATTTGTAATAAATCTAATAGAAAATTCTTTATTAAAAAATAGATAATAACTTACTTCTCTAACAGCACACTTCCAAGGTTCTTCATCTTCATTGACTTTCCCCTTAGGAAAGCCCCATGAAGCCTTAGTCCAATAAGACTGGACAAGCAATACATGTGTTAGATCTGTATCTAGAAGTATTGCACCATAAGTAGGTACTGTCTGTTTGTATTCCCGCCAGTTTCCTAGAACGGCATCAAGGCTGCCTATATGCTCTCTGAGTTGTGGTACATGCTAAAAAGTTTATTATATTTTTATTAACATTCACACCATCACATTACCTCAACAGCAAAAAAAAAAACAATAAATAACAAAATTATCATCTAAATCCATACACAAGTGTATGGGTATATTACATAAAATCCAATTAGAACCAGGGTTCTGGTTCTAATTGGCAGGTCTCAGCTAATGTTGCAACTGTGTTTCATCACAGCAACAACACTGGTATTAGGATAGGGCCTATGTAACAATGTAATACTTTCGTATCTGTGCGTGTATAATAAAGACATATTTTAGATTTTTATTTAATGGAAAAGCATTGTTGATCTAAACTTCATAAAAACTTCCATTCAATTTAAGACATTAATACACTGGTATGTACCACACACCCACAGATTACTAATAAGAAAATGTCACTTCAAGAAAGAAAAGTTACTGTCTTAAGGGGTTCGACCGTGAATGCGTTAAGAGTCTGTAGTGTCCCCATTGGTAAATATTAAGGAGTATACATTTTTAAGTCAAAAATCCAAATCGCCACCAAGTCAACAGTAACATTAACAAAACTTACTTGAAATATATGTGCGGCAAATTCCCTAATACCGCAGGGGTTCAGCTTGGTTTCGTCTGTGCAATAATAATCCAAGTAGAACCAATGAGCTAGCTCAATTTGAAAACATATCCGCACTAAATTTCCTCTATCTTCGGGCGGGAGATTAATAATAAAACGGCTGAAAGTAGCGGAAAATATGTTTTAACATGTGAGATGAAAAACAACAAACTAGAACATAACAAATTTATAGTATTACTTACCTGCACAAGTCATCTAAAATGTCAATAGGTATAGAATGCTTAGCATTACTAGAACTGGTTGCTAAAGAACTCATAGCGATTTAATATGAAATATTCTCTAATAATAAACAACTTCTCACAAAACACCGTAAAACTATAACGTCAGACTTGCGACAAGTTCAAATACAAAATAAATAACCTTTTATAGAACGCATGCTTTTATAAGTTTTTAATTGGTTTTTAACACAGACCAATAAGAGATACCACAGACTTTTTTTTTGGTAGATTTTTTCCTTAAAGGAAAGGCGAAGAGAGCTTAGCCCATACAGCCATTGTCTGTTGTACAAAATTTTTCTTCGATAGTTACCACAGACTATATGGTTTTAGCATAGAGGGATCTTTTAGTCTCCTTAAGGGATGCGATCTGAGATACATTATTGGTTATATCGATTTCGTACCCAACAATAATCGAGTTTTTATTTAATTAATACCGAATCGATATTTCGACTAAGAAAAAAGTTTAAGGAAAGCTAAGGCTTAAATTGCTAAGGAACGGGGGTTTCAGTTTGTTTGGATCAAGAATTGCAAGATCCATGTCCGCAAGAATACTACCTCTCCGATATTATTCATCCAAACAGAAAAGGATTTATCAAAAATTATGTAACTTATATATTAGATTATGTGTTATACTACCTAGTATTTAATAGTGTTTTATTTTTGTTTATTCTTAATTATTTCACGCTCTTTTGCATTGTTTTGAAACTGGTTCTATTATTGTACCTTAAATGCACTACCACGAGTTTGAGTATACTCACTAAACTGACTCACGTCGTTATAATTTACCTTTGTGAGTGCCACAATTTTATTAAAGAATCTGAATCACGACACAATACACCAATTGATTTAAATAAATTGTTGCCATATCTTGACGTTTTCTGGTTGTCTTGTTGTATTTATCTGGTTTTCTCTGTTAACCTTAATAAACCTAAAACTACACTAAGTTTATCGCTTTATAATTTAAATCCAATGGTTTTATCTAACTGTACTTATTACAAAAATGGCTTCCCTTAACATGTATTACCAGAACGTGCTTGGGTTACGCACAAAAACTGATACCTTATACAGAATGGTCAGCCTCAACAATTATGACGTCATTTCACTATCGGAAACATGGTTGGTAGACAGTATTTCTGATTCTGAATTTTTTGATGAGCGTTATTTGGTCTGGCGACGTGATCGTGAGTACTCCCGTACTAAACAGAGTTTAGGTGGAGGAGTCATGTTTGCTGTTAAGCGGGATCTTACTGTCATTCATAGAAGTGATTGGTCTAGTACGGCGGAGGACATATGGATAACAATATCAGTACATAATAAAAAACGGCCAATATCCTACAATATCCACGTTTGTACCGTATATCTCATCAATGAAGGAGGCAGCAACAGTTACAAAATTCAATTAGAAGCTTTTCTGAATAAATTATCGGAACTGGTTCTACAACATCCAATTGATAAATTCATTGTTTTGGGAAACTTCAATTTGCGTGACTATATTAACTGGACGACACAGGAGAACGGTGAATTTACACCTGAATTGCTTACCAGCAAAGACTTTGTGGTAAACTTCATAGATATGCTCAACGTATGTAATCTTAGTCAATATAACAACATAAGCAATTATTTCCATCGAACTCTTGATTTAGTACTCTCAAATGACACTGTCATTGTTCACGAGTGTGACTCCCCTCTTCTTAAGGAGGACCTGCACCACAAAGCTATTTCTATTAGTGCTGACTTTCTTGAAATTCACACATTACCACAAGAACGCCGAATATCATACAAATTTAATTCGGCTGATTATGCAACAATATCATCTGAACTCTCCAACACAGACTGGAACGGCTGTTTGAATGGAGTACCACTAGATAACGCAATTAATAATTTCTATAATCGATTTTATGAACTTCGTGATAAATACGTTCCTAACAAAACCATTACTTCTAAATCTTACCCGCCATGGTACAATATTGCTTTGATTAAAGTTTTAAGAGAGAAGGATAAATGCCATCGGAAGTATCGCACTTACGGTAATCTATCAAACTACAACTCTTTCTCTTTACTGCGCCGCCGTGCCATTCATATTGAAAAGGAATGCTTCGATCATTACATATCAACAATTGAACAATTTATCACTGAGGACCCCAAGATTTTCTGGACTTACGTTAAAAACAAGAAGAAATCAGACGCATACCCGAATCGTATGTATTACAACGAGGAAGTGGCTAGCACTGGTCAGAGTATTTGTGATTTATTTGGTTCATTCTTTTTATCGACATTTAATGACTCTGTTGCCACGAAATCAGATAATTTAACGCCTGAATTCTCGAAATATACTGATGTTAACATCGCCTCTTGCACGGTGGAACCCAAAATACTCCTAAAGCTATTGAAGGCATTAGATCTGACGAAATCGAGTGGCCCTGCCCTCATACCACCAATTTTTATAACACGCTGTGCTAAAAGTCTTTTGAGACCATTGTGTATTTTGTTTAGGCGTTCAATGAATGAGGGCAATCCTGCAATTTGGAAGTCAGCGTTTATTTCGCCGATTTTTAAACAAGGAGCTATAGACCTATCTCCAAGCTTTGTCTCTTTGCTAAGGTTTTGGAGCGACTGATCTACGATCAAGTCTGTGGTGCACTCAAATGCTCTTTCAGTGAGGAACAGCATAGCATTTCAGTGAGTATCGAATCTGGCATTCGCGAATAACTTTATTACCGCCGGTATGGATGATCGAGCTCAGGTAGATGTCATCTACACTGACTACAGAAAGTGTTTTGATAGAATCGATTATACCGTGCTTTTACACAAACTGTCAATGGCTGGGATTCATGGTGACATATTCCGATTGTTCTCCTCGTATATAGAAAACCGCAGTCAAGCTGTGGTGTTAAACAGTTATACATCAAATTGGACCTATATATACCATCTAGGGTACCCCAGGGTTCTTTACACGGACCATTACTGTTTGCGATATTTGTGAATGATATTGCTGAGTGTTTTCACAACTCCAAAATAATTTTATTCGCGGATGATATGAAAATATTATAATATTAAAATATTATATTAAATATTATAAAGATTATATGTAACGACTTAGATGCTAGAGATCTTCAGGCTGATTTATGTAGATTCGAAGGTTACTGCATAAAAAACAAACTAGATCTCAATGTTGCGAAATGTTTCTATATGTCCTTCACCCGCTGTTATAACATAAGAAATTTCACATATACATTAAAAAATCATAAATTGTCAAAAGTTTACGACTCGAAATTATTATTTGACAAACATATAGACTATATAGTTAAAAAAGCTTCTCGAGCGCTGGGGTTTATTATCCGCAGTTCCGCTAACTTCCGAAACATTAAAACGCTTTAAATCTTATACTCCACTTATGTGCGAAGCCACCTTGAATATGCATCTCAAATTTGGAATCCTCAATATCAAACCTATATAACTCGGATTGAGGGAATTCAGAAAAGATTTCTTAGGTTCCTAGATTTTAAATCTCAACTCTCAACCATAGATTCAAAAAGTATAATTTTATACCGTTGGAGACAAGAAGAATGATTAGTGATCATTAAGACAAAGACCACTTCTAAGTCCTTTGACAGCCAGAACACGTTACAGAACAAATACTTTCGTGATACGAGCATGCCATACATTTAATAGACTACCTTATAATCATAGATAATACATAATACTGGTACTTATAATGTTGACTTGTTTTGTTCTAGCACCACATATGTTAAAAAAGTATTGAGTCTCAGTTTCTTTGATAATAACGATTAATAGATGTGTTGTTTTTATTGTAGGAATGTTAAATGTTTACATTTTTCTTTTAAGTTGACCTCTAGGTTTTTAACTTTTAATTTATAACCTATTTGTGGAGATTTGTTATTAGGCATCGGAATAATTTACCTTGTGACATAATGTCGATATTTGTCTGTAAATCTTCCTAAAAATAAATAAATAAATTACCACCAAATAGTTGTTATAAATAAAATACTTATGCCATAGTAGGTCAATGAATTTTTCATTATAGTATTTAACAAAAGTTCTGAAGACAATAACAACTAGGAAGTTAGTTTTATTGCCATTAGTTGTTTGTTGAACTTACAACAACAAAACTATACCAAGTCTGAATAATATTTTAAAATTATATATGGTGAATGAATGAATAGGGATTATTAATCAGCAACAAATATCATAAAAACGATAATTATAAATAATTATCGTTTTTATGATATTTGAAAATAACATGACTTCTGGCTAAAATAACGTTTGTGTAAAGTGTAACGTGCAAATAACTTGTCCTTTCGAAATTAAGACTAAAAAACCATGATCAGTTATTAAACTTATATTCATAATTAAATCATCTCAATAAACATTCAGCAATCAACAAGAAACGTCTGTTCTAAATAAACAGCAAGGTTATAATTATATATTTTAAGATCACAAAGACACGTACATACAGTCATTATACTATTACTACTGATCTTGCACGTCGACGGTGGACGTCGAGCCATGTGTTAAGTTAATTCGTACGGTGGGTATGTGCTTTTTGGTTCTTACAATAATATTGTTAATAATAGATAAAAACAATCGAAATGGTCTAACTTTATGAAAATAAATGTGAAAAAGAAACGCATTTTTAACAAAAAACATGTGTCCTTAAACGCAATTATAAAGCTAATTAAATGAAGTACTCAGTACAGTAAATTAATTAATTTTATCTAAAATTTTATGACTTGGTAATCGGCTTTGATGTACTGCATGCCCACCGGTTGATCAAAATTTCAAAGTCCCTTAACTCTAACCAGCCACTGTATTACTACCTATACGTCTTACATGGCGAGAAAAACATGTTTTCATATATACATACATGCTCATACATACATAAAATATACAGTAATAAATATAACAGTACCTATCTAAACAAAGTTTACGTAGAGAACAGAAATAGGATGAAAACGATAGCATATTATACTTAAGTGATAACTAATATTCTTTTAACATATTTTTAAAGCAGTTAAGTGATGAAACGCGCATTATTTCTTTCTGCAATTTATTCCACAAGCGAACAGCCTGAACTGCGAATTACTTATCAAGGAATTTTAAGTTCTTTGATGATCTTAAAGCGCGAGAGTGCGAATCGCGAAGGAAATTGAAGCGTTCCTTGCGATAATTTGTAGAGAAAGGATTAACAGAATACTGTAAAGCAGGGACCTGGGGGCCTTGTCCTTTTAAATAGTGATTTAATACAGAGTTTCTACCATGTTTAGAGTTTTGGTGACTCTCATATTGGTGACGATCTGCCTTTGAAACTGGTGAAATTGTAATATACCACTGCTGCACGTCTACAGCCCTGTGAGGTGGTGCAGAATTATGTTAAGAATTTACTGTTCGCCGCTAAAATGCTCCAAGAAGAAGCAGTATTCTCCAAAATATTCCTTCAGTACAGTTCGTCCTTCATTTTCTCGTCGTTAGCACTGAAAACTACAAGAGATTAATTCCAGAGTTTGGCAAAATTTATCATTGGGGCGGCTATGATTTTTTTCATGTGTAAAGACGACGACGAGATATTTTTTTTCCAAGCATCGCCAACCAGCATGGCGAACCTCTATTAATCATTTTTTTTCTTTATTGAGCAGCTGTTGCGCTTTTCTGACTTGTATGCTATTGACTCGAGCCAGAGCTTGCAACAATAACTGGCTCATAGCAAACTTCATATATTTTTAAAAGCTTTTTTATTTGGATTGTGGTTATTGGTTATGGTTATTTAAAATCAAAATAATTATTAATTAACAAAAGAGTTTCTGCTCGAAATATCGGTTAGTTTCGCTCACAGAATCTAGCCATTCCGCCTATGTGTCGCTTTTTCTGTCTTATCTGTACTCTTACGCCGCTTTTTGCTAATGAAAAAAAAAACGCTAGTAGATAGAATATATGATCTCAAAGAGACGGCGTACAAAGCTCCACCCCCATTTTTGGTTGAAACTAACTAGGTTAAGCCCAGTGGTTTTAATGCTAGCCAATGGATCCTTACTGAATGAGCGTTTTAAAAAAACCTAGTTAATCTGTATTAACCAGTATTTTTTTGAACGATTTCTAGCTCTAACTTGGACCAAAGTTCCAATCCAAGCACAGATACACATAGTATCTGTGCTTGGAATTAATTTTGACTAGTTGTTGTAAAATCAAACGACTTACACCTTTTCTTATCATAGTTTATGGATAATAGGTGTTAATCTTTGTTTGACGATATATCGTCGTATATATCGACGCCAAGACGTCGTAACAGTTCCTTATACTACCTTTCTTGGATGGTCTTCAAAATGTCCAAACTCATCATAACGTTTAATAGAGAACTTGCGACTACCAGTTATCAACCTTACCAGTGTAATGTAATTATTGCCACTTGTAGCACTGACATAGTTAACTTTTAATATGTACCTTAAACGAGAGACACTAAGTTCACGATCAAATTTTACCTACTTGTTTAAAAAACAAAGGCAGCATAACATGTAAGTGGATTTTTAAGCATTTTTCATTAAGAATATCAATGTGAGTTTAGGGCCATAATATTTATAATAGTATCTAATAGCAGGCAAGCAATTGAAGTCATAAGAAGACGAATGAATGGATAAAATATACTTCTGTGGAATAAACTAACGAATGTCGTGTTACTGACTAAAGTATTTATTTGTTTTTTACAAGTTTTAGTACATTTAGTAAAGAGATCGATTGTTCGGGACATTTAGCGTCCCGACCACGTACAATTTGGGACGGAACTTTACACCCCTGCAAATCGGGATGTCCCGCGCAAATCGGGACGCCAGGTGTCCCGATTACTCATCACTAATGCTGACGTATCAACCAAACGTCGTTCCTTTACACGTAACATAATAAACAACTTAAACTTACGATTAAAATTAATTTGAAAGTTAGATATTATAAGAAACACAAAACGATGTCATATTTATTTATTTTCGATATTCAATTTACTTTTACGTCAGAAAAAAAAATTGAATGAATATCATAAACAAAATCCAAACACCGCGAGTCACATCTAGTATGATTTCAAGAACTAATATATTTTTTTAAATACTTTCTCATTGAAAACCATCTTGGTCTAGTGGTTTGTGTTCTCGATTACAAAGCCGCGTACATTAACATATAGATTGGTATCGTTCTGGGTGTTTTATATATATTTTGAGTTTCTATTTACAACAAAACTATTTAAAGCAAAAGATGCGTTCCCTGAAAGTAACTTTAATCGATGATCGAATGTTAATAGTTTTTAATAGAGATGAAAGTTAAACTATAAAACAGAATTATTTCATTTAATATAATAATTTAATATTTTGCGGACGTAAGATTGCAGTATATAATATGCAAAACAGAAACGGCTGAGATTTAAAATAAGTCCAAGAGACAACTTTACAATAAACTTAACTTACTTAAAGATAATTAATGGAAAAACGACTGGGTTACAAGCCAAAATATTTTATTTATATTAACTCGAACGTGTAGTAACAAAGGTCTGTAATCTTTTCGCTTGGCAGATTTTCAGCTAAGATTTGGCTGTAGGGCTTAATTCCTTCGCCTGTCCCATGGACGAAACTACTATTGCTACTTGGCAGATTTTCTTTAAAAATTTCAATTGATTGATAAAGAAGTTATTTACATAAACATGGATATAACGCCGTTATTTAAAGCTTGCATAAAAACTGTTAAAACTCGGAATAAAGCATTTGGCATACAAAGTCCAGTGAGTGAAGATAAACAACGTATATTGCGAAGTAAACCTAAAAGTGGGTTCATGACTACAGCTAAAGATATAACATCACAAATAACAAGATTGAGAGATTTTCTTTTAGAGCACAGAGAAAAATATTTAAGTTTCTTTAATAATGTGACTGGTGATGAAATGACAGAGTCTGAGAGAGATCAAATAGATACAGGAGCTCAAAGGATCATAAACACATGTTCACACTTAATGAAAGAGTTTAGAAATGATAATCGTAAACTTTCTGTTTCTCCTCAGATTCGTGACTATATGGATGGAGTTATAGAACTAATAGATATGTATTTAAAAGCAGTCTGTAAAATACACAGTGAATTGAAGGCCCTTCGTGTTAAACGTGCTTTAGACATTCGTAAATTATCTCGTTTAGAACAACCACAGGTAAAGTCAACCATTCCAAATCCATTTGTTATTGAAAACGAAAAGGATAAGATCAGTGATATAGAAGATGATCTTCCAGAAATAGAAGAAACTGATAATGTTAGAAAAAAAATAGATTTAACAGAGAATGATATAGCAGTTATATCTGATGAGTGTCAGCTCAGTGCTGAAGAGTTACAGATGTTTGAGTCTGAAAATGTGCAGCTTTTAAATGAATTGAATAATATGACTGAAGAAGTACGACAAATTGAAAGCAAAGTTCTCCACATTGCAGAGCTGCAGGAAATTTTCACAGAAAAGGTAAACATTTTATAATTTCAAAGAACTGTATCATTACTATGTTTAGGTCTTACAACATTGTTCATTAAATTAAACATAAATAAATTAAATTGCTCAAATATTTCAGATATTGCAACAAGAGCAAGATATTGATCGCATCTCAACAACAGTGGTTGGTGCAACAGAAAATGTAAAAGATGCCAATGAACAAATCAAACAGGCTATCCAGAGGAATGCTGGTCTCCGTGTTTACATACTTTTCTTCTTACTAGTCATGTCATTCACACTTCTATTCTTGGATTGGTACAATGATTAAAAAATAATTTGTCATATTTTGTTTTAATAATTAATTTCATAAGAGATTTCATTTTTTTTTGCCTTGTTGCTAACCATAATGTATTTTATAATTTCTTTAGTACTTAATGAAAAATGCTTAAAAAATCCACTTGGTTTCTTGTACCTGTCACCCGGATTGCGAAAGGTCACGGGTTCAAATCCCATCTCAGGGTGCCAGGGGCCAAGTGAATATTTTAAGAGCCATATGTCAAATTTTCACTCTGTGATTTGAGTTCTCGAGAACTTGTTCAAGGTTACGAGTCCACAATACTGTGTTGAAACCACGTTCAAGCTATTTTGATACTTTTCCCAATTTTTGTATTTATTTTAGTATTTCTATGGTGAGATTCATTATCGATTCCCGAATATTTTAAACGACTGCTCTCGAAAAGGAGTCTATTGTTTTTAGAATTAATATATGTATGTGAGTATTTTTATTGCTTCCTTATTGAAAAAAGTACTTCCGGTGTTGTAACAATAAAGTCGTATGTCAATGTGCTCCGAAAGAAATTGACGAGAAACAGTACAAATTTTACCATAACAACCGCATAATAGTGCTAACTTTTCACAGAAAACTGTTATCCTCTTGTGCAAGAAAAAAATCACGGTGCTAAACAGTTGAATCACAGTGAAATCTTGTGTACAAAATATTGTTGACATCCTTATAGTTTTTAAATACCCACAGTTGGTTTGACATTATTGAGTGTTTATTACGATCTTATACTCCTTCCGGCATCCAAAGAGTAGTATAATCCGGCATCTGACAATAAACCATATTTTTTTTTTTTAATTTATTTCTTAACCTGGATACAAGTCCATCAGTTGCATACATATTAAAAATTGAATTACATATTCAAAATAAGAGAACAAAAAATAATGAAAAGGAAAATAATTTCCAACATATTAGAAGCTATTTACAAAGTTTGGAATAACATTATCTGATGACAATTCTTATTATTATTATTATTTTCTTTTTAAAATTATAACAAATAGATATTAGAACATTTAAAAACAACTGATTAAAATCTAATTAAAAGTTTTAAATCTTTTCAATAGTATTTACAAGGTTTTAAATCTTTTCAATGGTATTTTCTATGAATATGTACAGCGACTTAAAAAATTCAGGGTTACTTAATAATTCTTGAACGCGGCGGGGTACACTGTTTAGTTTTAGTCGTTCACAGATGTCACTAACGTCACATGTCAACGTTAACCGTTGAATATTGAAATTTGGACAACTGAAAATGATGTGCTGAAGGTCTGCGTTATCTTGTGTACAGTAGAGACATTGGGCGTTGCTTAGGACGTTGATTCTCGTAAGATGGGTTGGTACAAGGCAATGACCAAGACGCATACGGGATAAGGCTGTGATAAATTTTCTATTCAAGTAGGACTTGGATTTTTCATACCAAGGCTTGATGGGTAAGTTTCTCTGTATTTCAGCATACCACTTGCCTTTAGTCTGTAATGTCAGTTCCCAGTACGATCTCCAAAGCATTCTTGCGTTTTCCTTAAAAAACCCGTAATAATCAGTAAATGGCACTAACAGAATATTGCTATGATCTTCATCATGTTCCATATGTGTAAGACTGTCAGCTATCTCGTTCCCCTCTATGCCACTGTGTGAGGGAACCCATACAAATTCTACATTAATGCCTTTTCTATTAAGATGTTCAATCAATTTAATTATGTTACACAATATATAATTGACTTTATATGAAGATAGACCATAAGATAAAGAATATAATACACTTTTGGAATCACACACTAGTACAATATTTACATTATTTACATGGTTATTTGCATAAATTAAAGCTTGCTGTAGAGCATAACTTTCTGCTGTGAAAATACTACAATGGCTGTCTAATTTTATGCACTTTGTGTAGTTAGCTCTGGGGTCATAGAAGGCTGATTTAACATTGTCATCTTTTGACCCATCCGTATATATAAAATAGTGATCAGCTTTATTATTTTTAAACTCAAGAAACTCTTTTTTATTGCTAATAATATCTAAGTGATAGTTATTACTACCATTAATTAAACTATTGTATGTACATGTATATAGAGGCCATATTTCAGATCTATGTATGTTTAGACAGCTATTTTTAACATGTGTAAATATTGTAACTATTTCAGGACCTGCCAAAAGTTTATCTAATGTAATATGAGGATGTGCCATTGATTGGTAAACATTAGACATTCTATTCAGCTTTTCAATGAGGAGATTACTGGAAGACAAGATTTTAAGACTAAACTTCTCAGCCAATTGAAGTCGCCTTAGGAACAGTGGAGGTACACATGTTTCAATTTCTAATGAGTTGATGGGAGTAGAACGCATTGCTCCACAAATTAATCTCAGGCCTATATTCTGTATTACATCCAACTTTCTTAAAAGAGTATTACTAGCATTTATATATGCAAAACAGCTATAGTCAAAATGACTTCTCACTATACTCTTGTATAGCATGCTCATAGATTTAGGATCAGAACCCCAAAATGTTCCAGCTAAGTGTCTTAGAATATTTATTGCTCTCATAGCTTTTGCACTTATATAATTTATGTGTTTATCAAATTTTAGTTGGTTGTCTATAATGATACCTAAAAATTTATGTTCATTAACAACAGGAATTTCTATATTATCATATGAAATTTTTATATTATTTCTATTTCTACTAAAGACTAAAACAGAACTTTTTTCTGGACTAATATCTAGCTTAAGTTTATTGTTATAATAAGAATGTAACTGTTTTAAGGCAGTATTGACATTTTGTTGGGCTACATCCAAATCTTGATTAATGCTATACAAGAGTAGATCATCAGCAAACTGTAGTATATTTACATTTTCAGTATTAACAAATTTGAGTATTTCTGAAGTATACAAATTATACAATAAAGGAGACAGTGTTGCTCCTTGCATTGTTCCTTTATTAGCAACTTTAGGACCATGTAATTTATTATTGTATTTTACATAGACTGTTCTGTTATTTAAGAAGGTGTGAAGCCATTGTAATATTTTTTTTGGCATACCTATATCACATAAAACTTGAACAAGTTCCTCAATGTTGACATTATCAAAAGCACCTTTAATGTCCAAAAAAACACAGATCATGTTAGAATGGCTTAGTTTAACATTTTTAATATCCTGTATAAATGATACAAAACTCTCAGAGCAACTTCTACCTTTTCTAAACCCATGCTGAATAGGAGGAATCAAATTATTGGTTTCTGAGAAATAATCTAGACGTAACTTGAGCATGTTTTCAAATAATTTTCCTAAACAGGATGATAACGATATTGGTCTGTAAGAAGAGGGAATACTGTGTGGTTTATTTGGCTTTAAAACTGGAATGACACATTGAGTTTTCCAAGATTCCGGTACTATACAGTATTGCCACAATTTATTATATATATACAATAAAATCTGTTGTGCATTATTATGTAAATGTTTAACTAATATATATGGTATATTATCAAGTCCTGGTGTTGTGTCTTTCCTGCTTTGTAGTGACTTAGTAAACTCATTAAAAGAAAATGGTTGATTTAGAAAGGAATTTAAAGAATTTTCTTCAGCAATATGGAATAAGCTAAAAATTCTGTTTTCATTGATTTCAGTGGAATCAGACAAATTGTTAATAAAACTTAGAATCCATCCATCTTCAAAATGTTTATTATCAGGACTACCAATTCTTTTAAACTTTTTAATATACTGCCATATCCTAGAAATAGGTGTTAGTCTGTTAAAACTATTGCATAGTTTTTTCCAAGATTCCCTACTTTCTTCTTTTATTACTCGTTTTTTGAGGGCATCTACCTTTTTGTATTCAATAAAGTTATCAATAGATGGATTCATTTTGTAATTCCTTAATGCCTGCCTTGATTTACATATTGCATCATCACATTTTTTATTCCACCAAGGGACTGGTTTTTTATGTAATTGAAGCTGACCATTTCCCTTTTTCCTAGGTATAGTTAGTTCTCTTAAGTCATTTAAAATATTTACAAATTTGTTATACATATCTAGTGGATTTTCATATTCAATATCTATTTCAGAGAAACATGTCTCTGACTGTGAGTAATATCTAACCCAATCAGCTTTACTATAGAGATATTTTTCTTCAACAGGACCAAATTCAAACAGCGATGGTTGGATGTTTAAATGAAGGGAAATTGGATAGTGATAGCTACCCATGGGATCATCCTGGACGTGCCAATTACATAAGTGGGCTATGGAGGGGCTGACAAGTGACAAATCTATGGCAGAAGCATTTCTATTAGGATAAGGACATGTAGTTGGAGTACCATCATTTAAAATACATAATTCAGATTCATCTATTATGTTGAACAAACTATTGCCTCTATTATTGTTACTGTGGCAACCAAAGGCTATATGATGTGCATTAAAATCACCCATGATAATGCAAGGTTTAGGCAATCTATTTACAATGTTTTTTAATTTATTACCTTCAAATCTATTACTATTAGGTGGACAATATACACAGAGAATAGAAATATCACCTGATTGTGTTTTAAGGCTAATGGCTATATTCTGAATACTTTCATGAAACTTTGTATTTAAAATATCATATTTCAAACCATGTTTAACTAGAATACCTACACCATTATGTGTATTTATAGAGTTTTTGTAAATAAAATTATAATTTGAAAAGTTCGGAATATTGGAAGAATTTGTAAGCCAGGTTTCATTTAAGAGACAAATATCAATATCTTTTTCAATTAGTAACTTTTGTAATAAAGGTTTTTTGCTCTGTAAACTTTGTATATTATACTGACATATATGTATATAACTATCCATTAAATTAAGTAACCCAAAAATGTATCCTTTATTTTCTTTGAAGTCAAAGGTGCTTTGTCACGGTCATTGCCTAGAGCTACAAGAGACTTTACAATGGCATTGATAATGATTTCATTATTAGCTATAAAATTAATATCAAAATGGTCTTTATTATTGTTAATATTTGTAAGTGGTGGGT